TTAGTTAATTTAAAGCATGGGAGCCAGTTTACTGATTAAATCTGGCTGGGGCAGCCGTACCAGACTGGCCTTAGAACAGTACATTAGTTACCAGCTTGTTTTCAGGCACTATTCAAAGAGCTAGTGTGTACAGCCCTAAATAGTCTGGGGTCTTGGTTCTCTGAAGGAACCACTTGAATTGAGATAAACAGAATAGCCTCTGCTAAGGTGGTTGTAGCCACCTCCGTCCGAGGCCCAAGCAGGTCACATGACCACCTCACTCCTGTCAGTCCAGAAGCTAGCAAAGAGGAAGAAGGCTCTTTAGAAGGGCTTCAATCAAGTTCTGCTCTTTTATAATGTACTGTTTTAATAAATGCTCTGATATTCTGTGTGATCCTTTACTGCTCCGTACTTTAAACCAGGAAGCAAAACAGAAAGTTCAAAAATATAACAGCTTCAAAGAGGTTAACCTGCCACTCTCTGAGCTTCAGTCAGAACTGCTACAAAGATTCCTCGTTTGCCAAATAGAAAAACAAGGCACTGATACACCAACATGGGGTGTGTGGGCAAAGGATGCCATAAATTTCAAGTGGTTAAGTTGTGGGCAGACTGCTTGGAGCTATGAGGCTACCACCTGCTTGCTTGATTCTGGGCTCGTGAAAACATCAAGGTCAGGACTCGGTGCTTCCCTAAGGGAAGGAGAGCTGCCTCAAGGAGGTGTTAGTAAGGCTACTCCTTTAAAAAGCTGGATTTAAAATTTGTTATTCTGAATAATTATTGACAAATCCCGAAATCTGTCTTTTCTAGGGGCAGTGATTAAGAGGCTGGTGGCCACATAGCTCCAGGATATGGATGAAGCTGATTATTTGAATCCATTCCAATCTGGATTCAGCCCTGGTTTTGGAATGGACACAGTCTCGGTCACCCCAGCAGGTGCCTGAGGATGAACAGGGTGTGTGTGCTACCCTGGAAGTCCTCCTGGCCCTTGCAGAAGCATTCAGTACCACTGATGATGGTAACTTCCTGGGCCATCTGTTGGGGATGGGCTGCTTTCAGTCCTTCCTTGATGGATGTACTCAGTAGGTGATGCGGGGAGACTTTTGCTCTTCCCCATGACTATTGATTTATGGGGCTCTGCAGGGCTCTAGATTAACCCCCATGCTATCCACCATCTATATGAAAATGCTGGAGGAAGACATCCAAGAATGGGTGCCACTTACTTCTACCTTTCGGTTCCCTCTTCTGACCCCAGAGAGGCTGTTGAAAATTTGAACTGATGCTTGGAGGCCGCTCTGGGGTGGACAAAGGCAAACAAATCGCAATTAACTCTGAGCAAGACATAGGCATTGTGGGTTGCGAGACCCCAGCTCCAGAAGGTATTGACAGCTGGTAATGGATGGGGTAGCACTCCCTCTCAAAGGTCAAATATGCTGTTTGGGATTGATATTGGATTTTGCACTGCCTGGTGAATCCCAGAGACTAGTAGCGACCTTTACCAGTTTCAGCTGGTAAGCCAATTGTGGCCCTATCTGGAGAGGTCTGATTTTGGCAAATTTATTCCAGGCATGAGATATTACTGTTTGTTGTCTGGTTGTCATTGTTTTAATTGTGGTTGTTTTTTTTTACAGGTTTGTGTCTCTATAGTTATAATAATAATAATAATAATAATAATAATAATAATTTATTATTTATACCCCGCCCATCTGGCTGGGTATTATTTATTGTTCACCCATTGTGGGGGTTCTGAATGTTGTAACCCACTTTGAATGGGCTTTCCCAGAAAAGCAACTTTTAAAATCCATTAAATTAAATAAATAAATAAGTGTCTGCTCCAAGAGGTCCTCTCACAACAATACATCGCATATACATTTGCACCAACTCAGCATTTCATTCCGGATGCTCGCCAGAGCTAGTTTTCATTTTTTTCATACTGGATGAAAAATGCTAGCCTTTTCATGCTATTTCAGTTCCTTGGCAAAGAGCAGTTCCTGAATCCTTACTGCTAGCTAATAAAAAATTCTGGACCAAGCTCGAGTGACACATTTAAGGAAATGATTGGAGTACACTATCACAGTGGTGGTTACACTGAGAAGAGCAGTTGACTCCAAGTTCAGGATTATGCCAACACTACCAGGTAAGAAAGTCAAGAGTTCTGCCTCGTATCAGTTGCTTTTGGGGGCAGAGAGTTTCCAATTTATCTCAAGACACTTTCTGGGCTATATTCATAGTATTCACCTAGAACAAATGAAGACACTCCATAGTGACTCTTTAACAAGCTGTTTGCAGTGTGACAAGGTGTGGCTTTGATAAGATTAACCATGGTGTGTTACTAAACTCGCTTAGCATAAATCGCTTGGATGTTTTGTTTCAATCAAGTGGGTTGGAAGCTGGAGGCAATATTCTGCTCCTGCCTGCAGGGTTGGCATTAAGGGACTATACTTCAGTTCCTGCTAGTGATTTTATGGGATGACACAAGGTACCACCTTGATTCCAATGCTGTTTTAACACAGTATCATCAGTATGTTAATGACACATTTATTTTGGGTCTGAGCCAAGAATCATAGAGTTGGAAGAGACCCCAAGGGTAATCTAGTCCAACCCCTTGCAATGCAGAAATCTCAGCTAAAGCATCCATGACAGATGGCCATCCAAACTCTGTTTGAAGGGGAGTCCACCACTTCTTGTGGGAGTCTGTTCCATAGTCGAACAGCTCTTACTGTCAGAAAGTTTTTTTGAAAGTCCTTTCTTGTAACTTGAAGCGATTGGTTCAAGTCCTACCCTCCAGAGAAGAAAACAAGCATATTTCCTCTTCCATGTGACAGACCTTAAGAGATTTGAAGATGGCTCTCATATCTCCTCTCAGTCTCTTCTCCAGGCTAAACATGCTCAGCTCCTTCAACCATACTTCATAAGGCTTAGTTTCCAGACCCTTGGCCATCTTGGTTGCCCTCCTTTGCACACATTCCAGCTTGTCACCATCCTTCTTAAATTGTGGTGCCCAGAATTAGACACAGTATTCCACGTGTGGTCCAACCAAGGCAGAATACAGTGGTACTGTTACTTTTTGATCTGGACACTCTACTTCTATTGATGCAGCCTAGAATAGCTTTAGGTTTTTTTGCTGCCGCATCACACTATTGACTCATGTTAAGCTTGTGGTCCACCAAGACCCCTACCTAAATCCTTTTCACATGTACTTCTAGTAAGCCAGGTGTCTCCCATCCTATATTTGTGCATCTGGTTCTTCCTCCCTAGGTGTAGAACCTTACATTTGTCCCTTTTGAAATTCATTTTGCACCCAGTTCTCCAATCTGTTAAGGTCATTTTGAATTCTGTTTCTGTTTCCTGCGACATTAGCTACCTCTTCCAGTTTGGTGTCATCTGCAGATTTGATGAGCATCCCCTCAATTTTTTCATCCAAGTCATTTATAAAGACGTTGAACAACAATGGGCCCAGGACAAAACCCTGCCTCCCCACTTGTCACTTTTTTCCAGGATGATGAGGAACCATTAATGAATACTCTTTGGGTTCGGTCAGTCAGCCAGCTGCAAATCCACCAAACAGTTACCTCATTCAACCCACATTTTACCAGCTTCCTTGAGAGAATATCACGGGGGACTTTGTCAAAAGCCTTACTGAAATCAAGATACACTGTGTCCACAACATTTGTAATTCCATCAAAAGTAGAAATCAGATTGGTCTGGCATTACCTATTTTTGAGAAACCCATGCTGGGTCATAGTAATCACAGCATCCTTTTCTAAATGCTCATGGACCAACTGTTGAACTCTTCTAGGTCCTTCCCTGGTATTGAAGTCAAACTCACCAGGTGGTAGTTACCTGGGTCTCCCTTTTTCCCATTTTTGAAGATGGAAACATGTGCCCGCTTCCAATCTGTAGAGACTTCACCTGTTCTCCAAGAATTCTCAAAGATCATAGACAAAGACAATGTTCCTGCACAAATTGTGGCATGGTGCCTGGATGCAGCAGCAGTCTGGATGAGGCCAAGAAGCTGAGGCTGGATCCCAATATGAGGGGCCTTGTGGGTTTTCTAAGGAATTATTCACTTCAGTGGGAGTGAAGCTCATCAAAAACAGGGAGGTCCAGGAATTATTAGGTGACCTCCCTGTTTTTGATGAGCTTCACTCCCACTGAAGAAACAGGTGCATAGTCTGTGGGTGCTCCTAGGTCCATCATTGCTGCTGGAGGCCCAGTTGGCTGCAGTGGTTAAGAGTGCCTCAAGAGTTCCCAGTCTCAAAAAGCCTGACTGCAGTGTCCCATGTATTGCTAACCTCAAGAATGGGCCACTGTAATCTGCTCGCCGTGGGGCTGCCCTTAAGGCTGGTCCAGAGCGATTAGATTGCTAACAGGAGAAGATTACCAGAAGCATGCTACACCACTTTTAAAAGAACTGCAGCAGCTGCCAACATATTACTGGGTCTATGAAGCCCTAAACAACTTAGAACAGGTTATCTGAGGAAATGCTGTGTACTGGATAGACTAGTCCAAGTCATTAAAATATTTGAACAAGGCTTTCATGGTTGTTGCACAGCCTTCGAAAGGTCCATTTTGTGACAACTTGGAGGGTTTTTTTCGTTGTGGCTCCCAGCTTATAGAACCACCTGAGATAAGGCAAGCATCTACTGTTCTAGTTTTTTGGCACTTGCTAAAAATTATTCTCCAAAAGCCTTTCCTGATCCTTAATACCAGTGCGCTGAATTTATCCTGACTTTGTCACTGCTGTATTTACTGTATCCATCATATTAGAATGTTTTTTGTGAACTGCCTTGAGATATTCTTATTGAAGGTAATATAAAAGTATTTTAAAATAAAATGTTAGCACATAACAAAATTCATAAATCTAGATATATCATATAATGCACATGAGCTGCATGGGTCTTTCTGTTATAGAACTGTGTCGCAGTCTGAAGCAGCCCCAAATTACTGGCTCACACCTCCTCAAAAATAAGGCCTTGAGCAGTTGCTTGAACATACAAGGTCACTAGCAGATACAAACTTACCTTTTGCCAGTCTCTCCAACCGCTTCCCATGTTCTGGAGGTATAGCATACCTAGCAACGGAAACAAAAGTGCTCATCAATAAGACTGAAATTTTAAAAACAGAGCTCATTACCACACTGATTCACTGAGAGCCTGTTTGTAGATTACGCTACTTACCCCCATCCACCATACTGACGCCAACTCTAGGGGACGCTGGGTGCTTGGGCACTCACAATTTTTTTTGTGGGGGCTAAGACCACGGGGCTCTAATGCAACTTCTGGTTTTGTACTGGAAGTTGAGTCGGAGGCCCAACACGACCTCCGAGGCGACATCCGAGGCCCGGCGAAGCCTCCAAGTGACTGGTATAAAACCAAAAGCCGCATCGGAGGGTCTCTCAAGGCTTTGGGCGTGGCCTTGGAAGCAATGTCCGAGGCCCTGCCAGGCCTCCAATACAACTTCTGGTAGAATTTTTATTATTATTTTAATAATGTTTCAGTGTTTCACTTTAATTGTATTTAACCTATTAGAATGTATTAGGCTTGATTTTTGTGTGTTCTGCATTTGTGAGTCTCTCCCCCCCCCTACACTGCATTTCATCTCTCCTTATCTACCCCTGAAAGTGGTACAAATGGCAGGATGTTTTAGCACCAGAGTGTAAATCAGCTATCCTTGAAGCAATCTGAGACCCAGGAAGAGGATTTTATGATGCTCTTCCCTCACTGAAGGCTAGGTTGCCAGGGTAACGCCAGACATCCGAGACCTAAAATGGTCAAATGGTCTGGGCACATCGGGGCCATTCCAAGGTGATGTGGGGGTCCAGTATGGAGCCCCAGTATGATACCAGTATGGAGCCATGTGTGTTTTACTTCCTGACGTATGTGAAGATGTTTTATGGCTCTTTGTTTGCTGTGTTTGAACTACTATATAAGCTTTTATTCCGAAGTGCCTTGGGGCAGACCTTCTCAACTGGCACGTTGAGTGGCGTGAGCTCTGCCCTATTGCAATAGCTATAATATCAACACTGGGTCCCCAAATATGGATGCTGGACTTGGAAATAGTTTCCTTGTTTCTATGGTTTATTCAAAAGGTGGTTGATCCTCACCTGGGTAACAAACAAGGTGGTGAAGACATGAATTCTTACCACACCATGCAACCCCAGAAGCACTGCTGCAGCATGCCTACCTAATGTGATGTCATGATGTCATGTTACGTCGTGGGCGCCATTGGGCACCCATATCCTGGGGCCCAAATTGGCACCCTCCGTCCACCATGGTTTCGCTGAAGAGATATCTGGAGCAAGCCATAGGCTCTAATCTCCACCCACCCTCTGCACCAATAACTGAACCAGGAGGTCCTACACATTTGGATACTTCTGCGTTTCTTCAAGGCATCTTCTACCTTTCCTTCATAATTCACGTACAGTCATACCTTGGGATAAATATGCTTCAGGTTGAGCGCTTTCGGGTTGTGCTCCGCGGTGACCCGGAAGTAACGGAGCACGTTACTTCCAGGTTTCGCAGCTCGCGCATGCGCAGATGGTCAAAATGACGTCATGCACATGCGCGAAGTGATGAAACGCGACCCACAGACGTGCTGTCGCGTCTTGCGTTCCATTCGGGATGCAAACGGGGCTCCGGAACGAATCCCGTTCGCATCCCGAGGTACCACTGTACAGTGGTACCTCTGGTCACGAACTTAATTCGTTCCAGAGGTCCGTTTTTAACCTGAAACCATTCTTAACCTGAGGTACCACTTTAGCTAATGGGGCCTCCTGCTGCTGCCGTGCCACCAACACACGGTTTTTGTTCTCATCCTGAGGTAAAGTTCTTAACCCAAGGTACTACTTCTCGGTTAGCGGTGTCTGTAACCCAAAGTGTTTGTATCCCGAGGTACCACTGCACTGTTTCATTGGTCAGAGGGCAGGACCTCAAGGCTGTTTATAGCTCTTCGCCCCTTGTTCCAACAAGCAGCAAAATCAGAATGATTTAGAACTGCATAAACAGCAGGTGGAAACCTGACTTTTGCATGGCTAGAATGTAGCCTACTCCTCAAAGGGAACTTTTGCCTCTGGCCCAACCCACCACTAGCATGTGGCTCCAGAAGGTTTCTCATGGGGGAATACAGCCCTCTGGTTCCCCATGCCTCCTGGAAATAATACTCTTGCCTCAGTGCTTGTGTACACACTCAGTGATTCATTTATCACCCTGCTGCACCCCTCCCATGAGGGAAGTTTGCAATACTCTGAAAATGGTGGCTTTAACCATAGTGGAAATTCAAATGAAAGAATGGAAATCATATCCTTAATTCTCCCTAGACCAAAGTGATATTTTCTGCCCTCCGAAGTGATCTGAAGACTCATAATGTAAAATCTAATGTAACAGGATGTCCAGGAAGAAAAATTGTACAGAAAGAGGATTCTTCAAGACTTAGTGTTTAAGCTGATTTAAACTGGCAGCTTAAAACAGAAACAAAAAACAATTTTCCAGGAACAGAAAGCCATCCTGTAACAGCTAATCTTATGAAATAAGAAGAAATCTTTAGTGTGACCCACAACTCTTTTAGCTAAAGCCACAACAATGGCCCTTTAAACTGTGTAATTATCAAATAATTCAGTTTTGCTCATCTTGGACTTTTTAATTTTTTTAATGCCATTTATCGGTAACATGAAACAAATGAGTAAATTAATCCAGATACAAACACTCCTTTGTGGGATTAACAACCCTAAAAATAAAAAATAAAAATGAACAGGAACTGAACTATTCCATTCCTCCTGGGAATATGTCGAAGGATTTGGAAAAGGCGTATGAGGCAGCAGATGATTAATGCAACATCCTTAGGTCTACTATGCTACTTTCACTTAATTAGTGCCTGTAATTGGGAGTTGTAAAGATAAGATTAATTGAATCTTGAGGATGTTAAAAGTTTAATATGTTGGAACATGGTTACTGCGTTATCAGAGTCTGCAGACTGCAAAGGCAATGCATGAAGTTCTAGAGAGGAGTCCCAGGGAGAGAATTAAAAGGAGTTTGCTTGGACAGGAAGCCAGAAAATTGTGTTAATGCGCTTAAAAGCAGAATAGGAGGCAATATCTGCAGCCCATGGCCAACAAACACACAGAAAGAACAGCCAGAGCACGCTTGGCTTGCATTTAACAGGAGGGGACTCAGTGCCTTCTTTCAAGTGATCAACAAATTTAAGAATGGAAGAAAAAATGAACTGAGCCCAGCCATTGCACTAATAGCACATCACATACAGAACCACATAACGAAGGAGGAGATGGATGGGACGGGGTGAAACCTAACCTTCCTCCAGCAATGCTCTCTCTTGGCTATAGGAAGAAGCCAACAAACAGTTGTGGTTGTCAGAACTCTGACCCACCCAAGATGGGTGGGGTCTTGCCTATGACTTGTGCTGCATATCCAAACCTCAGCAACAGTGCCTCGCTCCCCTCCCCTGTTCCAACATTTAATATATAGAGGGACAGACGATCAACCTGGTAGTTCTGAGGTGCTCCAGAGGCCCTCACAGCACCTCTGAAGCACAGCACAACTGTTGATGTGATCTTGCATCTTCTCCCCAGCTCCAAGAAGAAGGCAGCGGCTCAGTTCATCACACACATAAGGCAGAAGGATCACTGCCACTGTAAGTGGAATTGTGAGCCCCTAAGTCATGGAGGGGACACGGGTGGCGCTGTGGGTAAAAGCCTCAGCGCCTAGGGCTTGCCGATTGAAAGGTCGGCGGTTCGAATCCCCGCGGCGGGGTGCGCTCCTGTTGTTCGGTCCCAGCGCCTGCCAACCTAGCAGTTCGAAAGCACCCCCGGGTGCAAGTAGATAAATAGGGACCGCTTACTAGCGGGAAGGTAAATGGCGTTTCCGTGTGTGGCTCTGGCTCGCCAGAGCAGCGATGTCACGCTGGCCACGTGACCCAGAAGTGTCTCCGGACAGCGCTGGCTCCTGGCCTCTTGAGTGAGATGGGCACACAACCCTAGAGTCTGTCAAGACTGGCCCGTACGGGCAGGGGTACCTTTACCTTTACCTTTAAGTCATGGAGGTTTAGAAATCAGAGGGCAAACTAATGGATAGCATTAATCCAGTTAAAACAGCCACCTAACGCAGTCCTATGTGATGGATATTTATTTCAGTTATTTATATCCCACCTGTCAGGATACAAATCCTTCCAAGGCAAACTACAGGTAACATTAAATTGCATTATAAGGTTAACTGAGCAAACAGTGTCAACATACAGGTAGGTAGCAGTGTTGGTCTGCCGTAGTCGAAACAAAATTTAAAAATTCCTTCCAACTAAGTTTGTATATATATGTGTTGTATATAAACACATAAAATTTCATCAGGACACTTCTCACAGTGCAACTGCTGGGGGTAAGAAGAGGGCAAGTTAAGCTAGAGTGGCTTCTGAAATGCTTTGCCTGCATCCCTCCCTCTCCTGGAATATTCCAAATGACTTGGACATACCGTTGCACCAGCAACCATAGTTATTCATTCAATCTATATCCCAGTTTTGCTCCAAGGAGTTCAAGGTTGTGTATGTGGTTCTCTCACATCAATTCTATCCTTACTACAACACTATGAAGTAGGCTAGGCTGAGAGACAGTGAAGATCATGCGGCTGAATGAGGATACAAACCCTGGTCTCCGAGATCTTTCTGCACTATCACACTGTTAATGTTCAGCTTAAACTTTTTTGGTTTCTGCTTGAGCAATGTCTTCCACAAACAAGAGCAACTGACCCTCATATTCCCCTAAGGAACACGTGTTAGAGGATTTAACCAGGTTTTATTATCTCAAAGACTTTTTGAAAACCCCAAACCTCTAAAATTAAGAGCATGCGTTGCTCATCAAATGCTGTTGTCCTCCATTTGTTCTCAGAAGGAAACCGATCAAGCATGTATAAAGAGCCCACAAGAATTAGTCATATCAGATTAGAATCCCCATGAGAAAACAGAAGTCCATGAATTTTATTCAGAAGGACAGACTACAACTTCAACATACAATGGCTATTTGATAGAGGAGCAAGTCACAAGATAAAACCCTGATTTAATACTTTGGCTTCC